AAAAACATTAAAATTACTATGTAGCTAAGGTGTCATTATCACAATTATCACAAGCTACAGTGAAATACATTTTATACCTTGACTACAAACACACATTTTTCGTTTCACGGAGATTGGATTGTAGCCTTTACACTAGCGAATAATACTCAGCTATAAAGTTTGTATTTTGAGGGCTCGGATTGGCTGTATTCGCCGGCGTACAATCCAATCAAATTTCTCCTCGTAATAGCTTGCCATTGTGAAGATACCAATCTTTATGACGGCAATGTTGGAGAAGCACATATATCTACAATCCTAAGGAAGTTTTTTTTCTCAATTATTTAATGACGACATCCACAAAATCCAACATGCAAGTTAACGACAGAAATGAATCTGTTGAGTTTTCAATCAAGTATCTACTTAGTATAGTTGTTTGATTAAGTAACCAAAACATAATAGTATCATGATACAATACAGCCATTTTTTCCAAAGATCACCAGAGTCTTTTTTATCAGCTGATCCGTGGTCATGCCTGATCGCTTTCGGATTACTTATACCATTTTTAAAGGGAGTAGACTGGAATTAACAGGACAGATTGCCTATTCAAAGTCAGCAGATTTTCAGTATTTGGTGTTAAGTTGCAGTGAAGGGATGACATGGCCGTCAGGCTTTTTTTAAGGAGGGATGGGGGGTATATTTACGTACTTTTGACTAAATCAAGGGGAATAACTAAAACATTGTTCATCAAAATCGAACTACGAGATCCAAACGCATCCCAAAGCATAAACAAACGAAGTTTCGTCAAAATCTGATTTTATTGCTCATCAATTTTTACTGTTTTTTATGTTAGTCAAGAGGAATAACTCTAGAACTGTTCATAGGAACTTCGTGAAAATTGAACTCATCCGAGAACTAACACATACCATAGTTCGTCGAAATCTGATTCGGTCTTGATTTTTAATGGACGGACGTTCGGAAACATCATAATGTGGGCGTAAAATAATGACTAATCTCAGATATCCCACCTCCCCTTTCGGACGTAAACCTGGCTCCTGCTTCGATGTAAATATAATGTATAATAGAATTACAGTGGTGTAACCTATTTTCGTGGATATAACGATTCAACACCGAATTTCGTCAAAGTTAAAAAAAATAAATAAAATTTGTATGTCCTAGATGTCTCCTCAGATATTCTACAAAATAATTAAAATTGGTTTATTTCGATTTTCTTTATGAATCCTTCACTTTAACCCATATTTCATGAGCAACCAACTCGGCAACAGCGGCAACACGCGTCACCTATTTTCGTGTAAAATGTTTGGTCTATAATTAAGTCGAGGAAAACACGTTGTATGGATACCGGGTGGTATAATTAACTTCTCTTAGTATTTATCTTTAATATCAATTCATTATAACTAGTGACAATTCCTTCAAAGAACCACGATTTAAAAAAAAATAGTGACTGACAAAATATGATACGTAGCGTGATTTATTGCTAAAAGTCACTGAAAGAACATAAGAATATGGTCCTTTTTGTGTTCCATAGAAATTTTCTGCTGACACGGAATCCGCTAGTTGATCACGTGACTTCATTCGTTAGACTACATTCTAGCAGACGACACCTGGAATTCCGATTACCGCTTGGGATTATAAGGAAATTCGGCCGATAAAAAATGGTGACGTTTGGTAATAAGTGAAATCCGCCATTTTGTATTTGTCAAAGTATACATTAATACATTTTACCTTGCTTGAAATTACTGGATTCATTCTACTAGCTGATATTGTACAGAAAACCCATGTTTATCAAAAAAAAACTAATGCGGAGGTCGCGCATGTAAATTATTAATCATTTCCGGAAATCCACGAATAATAGGTTTCCACGAAATTAGGTTACTTGACTGTAATATAGCGCGTACTATGTTGTTTATAGGCCTAGTTAGAACTGTTATTTTCGTTCATGGAGATTTTCGCAGATATCCGAAAACTAACGGAAATAATTTGGCAGGCTACAATTGATTTGGCACGTAAAATGAAATGAGTTTTACATCCTTCTTTTCTGCACCATGGGTTAATGAAGACGGGATTTGTCACGTAGTCTAAGCCAGCAGACCAACAATCATTATCTTATGGCGTATGGTGCCATTTTGATGTAGTTGATACAGTGGCGGAGTAGGCCTGAAAGCAAGTTTTTCGGGCAGAAATCTTAGAGATTCGGGCAATCTCAGATATCCTGCAGCTTTTGTAGGTTCGGGATCGGGTACAGTTTGACAAACGAAGACCAATGGCGCAGCCAGTACAAAAGTATCTTCGTTTATATAATAACTGATTCCTACTGTTGAACGTAGCTTATTTTGACTGGAGTTACCTCCCCTATGTAAGAAAATGACATTCTGTGCAGAAATGTAAGTTATTTTGATTTTATGCTGAAGGAACATTCCTAAATCTCTTTTTTCTACAGGCATTTGAAAAAATACAGCGACATTCAATGACAGGTAATGATACTGGACCTAATATTCCAGCCGAACATAGAATCATAGAAAAAAAGAAAGGCAAATTGAAATGAAAAAGAAACGAATATCATCAAGTCATCAAAAGAATGAAGTCACTCATTTCCTAACTCATGTCCATGAAGTTATCATGCTACGATTGCATGATACAGTAAATGGATGTCAATGCAACCTTTGGAAATGATGAAATCATAGCTTAAGGGTTTGATTGTTTGTTTTTTCCTGTCAAAATGAGTCAAATAGCTGAATTATAGCCAAGTTGACAAGTTGAAAATAAATAGACATCATTTGTATGTAACATTGTTGTTAGTGATAAACCTAAGCCTATTTTGAATCTTTGAATCTTAAGTCTTGGACAGTGCATGCTATAGACAATGAGCGATTTGGAATTCCATGAGGTAATATAATCTTTTATATATGTGTGTAATTTTGTACAGCATTACCAATGGTATCAGGTACAAGGACTGGTACTTTGTTCAAAGTAAATACTAATGGACTTTATGCTGCTTATAAATTAAATGGGTTATATAAGACTTAGACAAGATATAAATATGATTTGTTTCAAATTAGAAACAAAATGTTTAGGATATTTTTTATCCTATCATTATGTTCTCATTGCATATAACTAAGAGTTTTAACCACTCATAAATGTCCATGTATGTACAGTCTGGATAAACAAAAAAAGACTTTTTAACCTTTCTTGATCGGTCACTCATTGGAATTCTGCTGGTAATTCTCTTCTAATTTAATTATGAATTAATTATGGACATGTGAGACAAACTGGTATTTTTCCAAGTCATTAGAACACCTCTACTTTCTATTCATATAAGTACTACATAAATGAAAATAAGGGAACCCATCTTTAAATGACAGGAAAACTGTCGTTTCTGGAAAACTTACACTACCTGTACCTGATACTGCTACTTTTAGGTGTCTGTCATCTTGGCAACCCTTTGCATTTATAAGCATACAGAGTAAATAGCTAATAAGTTTATTGGGAATTTTTTTTTAGAATGTGAACCTCACTGCAGAAGTCAACCATTTAAAATGGTCTACTGGTAGTTTGTCAATGGGAAATATTGGGAGTGGATTAGGTGAAATGTTACATTCAGCTATAAAACAGGGCCGGCAAGAGGAGGCTATAGATTTATTAAAGAGTGGGGTTTCGGTAGGTATGATACTACTATCTGACTACATTGAGCTTTGAATTGGTATATAATTGGTTACCCGGTATGTATGTCACATTCAAAATTTTACTGTTTATTTTCTTTTCTGCCATTTTGAATTCTGTCTGCGCTTGCTATTTTTCAGCATATGTGAAACACGTTCATTATCAACTTGTTTTATTGAACGTTCTGTTGATTCCATAAATCCTGAACGGACAGAACTCTCAAATCTAGTGCCATCCATGGCGATGGAAAGTCAAAATGCTGGAATTAATTGTGAAAATTGAAAGGAAGTACAATGTAGCAATTACTTAAAGGAACAGTTGCGCCATTTTTTTTTATACCAATCGTACCTTAGTGTCAGAAATGAGATTTTTTATAGCCAATCAGTAACAGTGTTCACAGGTCATGTCAAAACTTGAGCCTTCAAATCCATGTGTGTCCAGAATTATCCGCGTTTGATGAGTCGTCTTTTCTTGAAAAACTGCCATATATAGGAAAGACATCATCTATAGAAGTAGGAAAATAAATTCCTAGCTTGAGATATTTGTAAAGGAATTATGTTATTTTCGTACATTTCTGGTACTTCTGAAGACTATTTACATATATTTCAGACTCAAAATGGCGCATCTTTTCCATTAATGTTAATATCAAAGTGTATATTATGTAGTGAGTCACAAAATATTCAATGTATTTTTCAGGTTAGCAGCCATTTTGAAAATGAATCTGTTATTTATGCTACTGTAATGAATAAAAGATATGAAGTACTAGAGTTTATTCTACGAAACAAAAAAGTCAACGTTCAAGATGGCTTCTTTACAGGTTTGCTTATTAACTTGTTTGGAGTGAAAACTACAATATTTGGAAATATGTAAGCTTATATAATAGTCTAGAATCAGAGTTTGAACTAATTGTTATTATGAAAAATTTGAAAATCAGAATCTTTTTGAAAAGTGATATTAAGTAAATGATGTTCATGAATAAGTATTACATCCTATTAGAACTGGGTGATATATTGATATCAATATCATTAGTATAGGAATTTATATGATTAGTAATATTGCCTGATTAAAAAATACAGAAATATCACCATATTGTGATATATGGTAGTTATCATGATATACAGTCAAATTTTTTCCAAATATGATCATCTACACGATTCTAATAAGTAACTTCATATTTTGAACAGATGATTTTGCATGCCATTAAAGACTTGGTTTTTTTTACATTTAAATTTTTTTTTGGATGGAAAAAATTAACATTTTAATTCAAATACCAGACTTAAGAAATATCACGATATAAACGCATATCGTGATATATTACCGTTAATGATAGGTATCGTGATATGCGCTTTAACGAGCCCTACCCCCTAACTTAACCATAATGAAAAAATGTAACATACATACATATACATATATGTACCCAACACAGATGATATATTTGAACTATCTTTTCTAGAGACACCTCTACATTGTGCCTGTAAGAATGGAGATATGAAGGCAGTAGAGATGCTAGTGGTAGCAGGTGCTGATGTGAACTCTGTAGATCATAATACCTGTACCCCACTGTGGTTGGCTGTGGAAGCAGAGCGAACTGATATCGTGGAGTACTTATTAACATCACCTGATATTAATGTAGATATTGATTGTAGCTGTAAAGACCGATTCATGGCTAGGTGAGAAAGAATTTAATTACTGCCTCTATTTTGGACAAACTTCATCTTATACCTTGACTGCAATAGCCACCTTTTTGTATCACAGTTTACAGTGATTTCATTGTACGACAGCCAATCAGAGCCAGATCATGATGTGAGGTGCTCTCTCAAATCAAAATAAATTCTTCTACACCAGTTGGCCACACCCTGACACCCTATTCCCGCACACCGGGTTGGGAACCAGTGTCATAAAAGATCCAGTGGTTGGTAAAGAGGTATTTTTACACCTTGTATTGACATTATTAATGACTTTCTATAATCATCCCAATTTTTTTAAAACAGAAGTATCCCACCTAAGATTATGGGATTGTTGTTATTGTTATTTATTCAGGGATGCCAGTTGTACACCAATAAATAAAGCTGCTGAGATGAATAATACTGAAATAGTTCGAATATTAGCTCAACATGGTGCCAATACTGATATACCAAATAATCATGGGTAAGATTATTATCACCCGAATACAGATTTTGACATGGTCTTATTAACCCGTATTAAAACTAAGTCTGATACTATTAGTTTGTGGGCGTGGAAATGAGATTGGTGCTAATAATATATGACCAATCAGGAATGAAGAAGGGGTGAAGGTCATATAAACAAAAGTAGAGATGAGAACACTTTTTTTCCAGCTTATGAATATTCCAAAGTGTGGTTTTGATGACATCACTAATTGAAAAATAAGCTTGTATCATATTAGGAACTTTGTGATTAGTGATGTCATCAAGTATTTAGTTTTAATGGAATTACAGGAATGATAGAGGCCTGATTGAAAATTTGAATGGCGAAATTAGCGCTATCGGAGTATCAGATACAATCACTTTAATGTTAATGTCTGACTGAAAATTGAAATAGTGGTATTCGATGCTATCAATGTCTTGGACAAAGTTTGGAAAACATCTATACAATGTTCTATATATCAGTAATAAGTAGTGCTGAGTATTGTCAACCATGCCATGATACGATACCTATCGGGATACAAGAGTCACGATACGATGCATATCGTGATACAAGAGTCATGATACGATGTATATTGTGATACAAGAGTCACGATACGATGCATATCGTGATACAAGAGTCACGATACGATAATGTCTGGATACATGAGTCATGATACGATACATATAGGGATACAAGAGTCACGATACGATACATATCGGGATACAAGAGTCACAATACGATACATATCGGGATACAGGAGATACGATACATATCGGGATACAAGAGTCACGATACGATACATATAGCGGATATGGGGTAATGGGATAAAATTAACTTTTTATCTTTAAAGTTTCTATATATATTAATTCATAACTTTATTACTGTGATATTTGGTAATATAGTTGATAGAAGTGGTTAACGTCCACTGTCTTATAAATAGTTTCTATATATATTAATTCATAACTTTATTACTGTGATATTTGGTAATATAGTTGATAGAAGTGGTTAACGTCCACTGCCTTATAAAAAGTTTCTAACAATTTCAGTAAAAAAAATTGTTATATCAAAAAACTTATAAAAATCCACACTTTTTTATGGAATAAAATGTATTGCCAAGTATCGATACACATCACGATACGATACATGTATCATGGCATGTCATATCGCAATACATCGATTCACTGATATATCATACAAGCACCAGTAATAAGTGACTGATATCAATGCCAGTTATTATCTATATTGTAGAAAAGTAGCGTTGCATCATGCTTGTTATAATGGTAATAAAGGAATGGTAGATATATTATTAGCTGGTAACTGTAATGTTAATTTACTAGATGAAGATGGTATAAGTCCATTCTATGAAGCTTGTAAACACAATCATCATGAAATAGTTAGACTATTGATATCTTGTGGTAGGTAGTAGCCAAACTTCAATTTTAGGACAGGCTTTTGTGCCATCAGTTAGATTGTTGAAATCTTGCTGCCGGCAGATTGTGGTTGTGGGTTCTAAACTAAGTTAGCATGTGTAAGTGTATTGATGCAGTAGGTAGCCAAACTTCAATTTTAGGACAGGCTGTAGTGCCATCAGTTAGATTGTTCAAATCTTGCTGGCAGCAGATTTTGGTTGTGGGTTCTAAATTAAGTTAGCATGTGTAAGTGTATTGATGCAGTAGGTAGCCAAACTTCAATTTTAGGACAGACTGTAGTGCAATCAGTTAGATTGTTGAAATCTTGCTGGCGGCAGATTGTGGTTGTGGGTTCTAAATTAAGTTAGCATGTGTAAGTGTATTGATGCAGTAGGTAGCCAAACTTCAATTTTAGGACAGACTGTAGTGCAATCAGTTAGATTGTTGAAATCTTGCTAGCGGCAGATTGTGGTTGTGGGTTCTAAACTAAGTTAGCATGTATAAGTGTATTGATGCAGTAGGTAGCCAAACTTCAATTTTAGGACAGACTGTAGTGCAATCAGTTAGATTGTTGAAATCTTGCTAGCGGCAGATTGTGGTTGTGGGTTCTGAACTAAGTTAGCATGTGAAGGTTTGGTGACATAGTCATTATCTCAGACCAAACTGTAAGTGGTCAAGGATAATCCAGGGAAGATCAAGGCCAAGGACCAGCTTGTAGATAGGATCCTTGAGAACTGCAGTTGTTATCCTTGTAAAATATGATTGCATAACCAAAAAAACTCTTTGAAGATGTCAAATTAGAAATTGAGACAACAATGGCTCTTTATGGATCACATTGTATTATTTTTTTTATTTTAGGTTGTGATGTAAATAAGAAAAGATCGGACAGTGGATGGCATTGTCGAGGATTTTCACCATTACATGTAGCCACACAGTATCATCGCAAGCAAGCTGTGGAGGCACTGTTACAGGCTGGAGCAGACGTCAATGTGGGAGACTTTCGTGATGTCCAACCAGTAGCTCTAGCTTGTGAAGAAGGACAATTAGATATATTGAATCTGCTACTCCAATATAATGCCGATGTTAATCACAAAGATGAAAACGGATCTGTGCCTTTGGCATATTGTTTCGAATTTTCTTATCCACATGATGTGCTAAAGAGACTTCTGCAGGAAAACTTAGATGTGAACGTATGCATGTTTGATCAAGAACCTATCTTGCACTATGCTGTGCGGAATTTTTCAGTGGAAATACCAACAATGTTGATTAATAACGGTGCAATACTCAGCATTTTAGACAGACGTGATTTAAACGCTCTTTATTATGCCATCAATATGGGCAAGATGGCAACCAGTTCCTTGCTTTTGGTTCATGGCGCCAGAATTACCGAGTATGAATTAGAAAATGCTTTGACGTCTTTGAGAATAAACCAACAGTTGTTAAGCATCATAATTGATATTCTGGATATGAACATGATTAGAAATATCTTGCCAAAGTTTACCTCGGGTAACAAATATTTGGTTGCTATGGTAACCAACGTACTAAGTCAGCCTTCGAAATTGAAGAGGCTGTGTCGAGATGTGATAAGAGATACTCTACAGAGGAAAACTAATCAGTCTGTTTTGCCTTTGATTCAATCTGTGAACCTGCCTCATGTGATATTGGACTACCTGTCTTGTAATTGTTATTTAAATGACACAAGTTCTTGATGCTGATCCAAAGGATTTTTCCCATTCTGATCAACAGCGTTGGAGTTTAATTCTTAGACACTCTTAAGTACTTGTAGATTCATTAAGAACATTCAAATTCACGATAAAACTGCAAGAGCATAGTATCAAGTTCATTCATATTAAAGAGGTTTTCATAAATTTGTATGTGTATTGGGGACACAGATATCATCACTATACACCATTCCAATTTTCATTCCGATGTCTGTGGTTCCTGAAATTCCACTAAAACTAAGTGTTTTTTTACATCACTAATCGAGAAGTCCATATGTGATAAAGCATAATTATGAGTGACATCATAAAATACTTGGTTTAAGTGGAATAAATTGGAATGGTGCAAATTGATCCTATCAGTGTCCCCGATACACATAAAAAAAAAACAACTCTTTACAATACCTTTAATTACATTTTGCCCATTAAGCTTTGCCAAGTAATATTTTCTATTGCCAAGCTTTGTAGTTGTTTTGAATGTTATAAATTGTTGACTTTTGTTTTCAAAATTAAGTTTTATGAGATATATATATAATAATATATAAATAATACTTCACTGGGGACACAGGTTGAAAATAGGTCTTTAGATATAGGCATGAAAATAAGTTATACTTGTCGAATTTCAGTAGGGACGCAAGCTGAAAATAGGTTAGTTGTCTTAAACACTATGTCCAAACCTGTCTTGAAGTGTAGACATGAAAATAAGCTCTACTTGTCAAATTTCAGTAGGGATCTCAATTCAAAACAAATACTTGTCCTACACCAGCTGGTCACACCCTAGTCCCACACCCCAATGGACCCATTAATGATTCGGCATCCTATATATACAAAAAACACAGGAAGATATCATGCCTGAGGAACTGGGAAGATTCAGAGATGCTGTGCCATTCCACAGACAAATGTAGATCTATATTAAGAACAATTTAATATAAATAAAGAAAATAACAAATTCACAAATCATCATCATCATAATCATTAACACAATCATCATTACAATTTAAGAAGTTATCAAAACAACCTCATTTTCATATCACTTGATACAACTGATTCAACCAAAATAATCACTTGATATAACTGATTCACCCTAACATAATTACTTGATACAACTGATTCAACCTAGCATAATCACTTGATACAACTGATTCAACCTAGCATAATCACTACATACAACTGATTCAACCTAACATAATCACTTCATACAGCTGATTCAACCAACATAATCACTTCATACAACTGATTCAACCTAGCATAATCACTTGACACTACTGATTCAACCTAGCATAATCACTTGACACAACTGATTCAACCTAGCATAATCACTTCAAACAACTGATTCAACCTAGCATAATCACTTGACACAACTGATTCAAACTAGCATAATCACTTGATACAACTGATTTAACCTAACATATTCACTTGATACAACTGATTCAACCTAGCATAATCACTTCATACAATTGATTCAACCTAACATAATCACTACATACAACTGATTTAACCTAACATAATCACTTGATACAACTGATTCAACCAACATAATCACTTCATACAACTGATTCAACCTAGCATAATCACTTGACACAACTGATTCAACCTAGCATAATCACTTCATACAACTGATTCAACCTAGCATAATCACTTGACACAACTGATTCAACCTAGCATAATCACTTAACACAACTAATTCAAACTAGCATAATCACTTGACACAACTGATTTAACCTAACATAATCACTTGATACAACTGATTCAACCTAGCATAATCACTTGATACAACTGATTCAACCTAACATAATCACTTGATATAACTGCTTCAACCTAACAATCACTTCAAACAACTGATTCAAGCTAGCATAATCAATCGATACAACTGATTCAACCTAGCATAATCACTTGATACAACTGATTCAACCTGACATAATTACTTTATACAACTGATTCAACCTAACATAATCACTTGATACAACTGATTCAACCTGACATAATTACTTTATACAACTGATTCAACCTAACATAATCAATTGATACAACTGATTCAACCTGACATAATTACTTTATACAACTGATTCAACCTAACACAATCACTTGATACAACTGATTCAACCTGACATAATTACTTTATACAACTGATTCAACCTAACATAATCACTTGATACAACTGATTCAACCAAACATAATCACTACATACAACTGATTTAACCTAACATAATCACTTCATACAATTGATTCTTCTAGCTGGAGGTTATGTTTTGGATGGAGGTTATGTTCCATATTCAATTCCTCTGGATTGAATTTATGTTCTATTTTTGATTCTTCTAGCTGGAGGTTATGTTCTGGATTGAAGTTATGTTCTAAATTTGATCCCTCTGGATTGAGGTTATGTTCTATTTTTGATTCTTCTAGCTGGAGGTTATGTTCTGGATTGAAGTTATGTTCTATATTTGATCACTCTGGATGGAGGTTATGTTCCATATTCAATTCCTCTGGATTGAATTTATGTTCTATTTTTGATTCTTCTAGCTGGAGGTTATGTTCTGGATTGAAGTTATGTTCTAAATTTGATCTCTCTGGATGGAGGTTATGTTCTGTATTCAATTCCTCTGGATTGAATTTATGTTCTATTTTTGATTCTTCTAGCTGGAGGTTATGTTCTGAATTGAAGTTATGTTCTATATTTGATCACTCTGGATGGAGGTTATGTTCCATATTCAATTCCTCTGGATTGAATTTATGTTCTATTTTTGATTCTTCTAGCTGGAGGTTATGTTCTGGATTGAAGTTATGTTCTAAATTTGATCTCTCCGGATGGAGGTTATGTTCTGTATTCAATTCCTCTGGATTGAATTTATGTTCTATTTTTGATTCTTCTAGCTGGAGGTTATGTTCTGAATTGAAGTTATGTTCTATATTTGAGTCCAAAAGATGGACGTTATGTTCTACATTCAATTCCTCTGGATTGAGTTTATGTTCTATATCTGAATCCTCTGGATCGAGGTTATGTTCTACATTCAAATCCTCTGGATTGAGGTTATGTTCTATATTCAAATCCTCTGGATTGAGGTTATCTTCTACATTCAAATCCTCTGGATTGAGGTTATGTTCTACTTTTGATTCTTCTAGCTGGAGGTTATGTTCTATATCTAATAGGTCTGTATTGAAGTTATGTACAATATCTTCATTTATTATTGAAGTTTTGGCGGGATCCAAAATTTTGTTGTGGGTAAGATTATGATTTCTGAGTTGACTCTTTTGAATAAAAGATTTTTTACAAATATCACATTTATGAGGTTTCTCTCCGGTATGGATCTTTATGTGTCGATTTAAGCAACTTTTATCTGTGAACGCTCTACTACAATGGCTACACTTATGGGGTTTCTCTCCTGTGTGAGTCATTTCGTGAGTTTTCAGATGGTTGTTACTTCTCAACCAACGCCCACATATGTTGCACATCACTTTCTTACGAATGTTTGCATCATGGTTTTTAGCATGTCTGTTTAATTGGCCTACACTTATAAACGCCACTCCACAGGTGCCACACACAAAAGGTCTTTGAGGATCATGCGCTTTCACATGCATCCTGAAAGTATTTCTGTTTATAAAGGATTTGCCACAGAATTCGCATGTAAATGCTCTCTCACCAGTATGTGTTCTCAGATGATCCTTCAGATAAGATTGCCTTTTAAATGCTTTACCGCAGTATTCACAATTATAAGACACTGGGTCTGCATGCTGTGTCTTCTTGTGTGATTTCAAATCTGAAACATTATCGAACACCACATTGCAAATGTGGCACTCTTTATTTGGGACATATTTTAAACCATGTACACAACTTTTCTTGTGTTTGTTTAAAGGTCCAACACTTATAAATGATGCTCCACATTTTTCACATTTAAAGGGTCTTTGAGCGCTGTGTGACTTGGCATGCATGCCTAAGGTACCCATATCTTTAAAGGTTTTTCCGCAAATTTCACATGTATATGGCCTCTCCCCTGTATGTGATCTCACGTGAACATCTAAATGCCAACGTTTATGATATTGTTTGGCGCAGAATTTACACTTGTAAGGAGTAGGACCTGGATGGGTTTTTTTCTTGTGGATTTTCAAATTAAGAGCACTGCTAAACACTATGTCACAAACATTGCATGTTTTTTCTTTGCCTTTGGTTTTGGGGTTGTGAGCGTGCAAATGATTTCTTAGACGCCTTCTTGACGAGATGTTCTTGGCACCACAAATTGTGCACTCGTAAGGGTTTTCCAGAGATTTATGTCTCTTGGCATGTTCTTGAAGCTCCTCATACGTCTTGACTTTAGCACAGCAGTAAAAACACGCCAGGTTGTCTTTGATATATTTGTTTGATGTAGGATTTACAGTAGGAACGAAACTTGGGGTTTGTGAAATGTAATTGTGATCTGTATTTAAATGATTGGTTTCATCATTAGTGTCATTGATATCATCATTAACGTCATTGATATCATCATTATCATCATCATTATGCGCTTTAATATCTTCCATCTTTACCAAACTTGTATAACTAATATTACAACCTTTGGAGTCTTTTGCGATCTAATCAAAAAAAAAAAAAAAAAAAACACATATTAAAGAAATGAAATATCACTCAAAAAAAATTTTTTTTTCTTAAAATGTATTTAGGTCTATAGAAATATAAGGTCCAGTGATTTTACATTTGAAATAGACACACTTCCCTCCTTTAACATTCACGTGAAAATGACCTACTTTTCGGACTGAAAATTCTATATTCTGTAAAATCATATTTACTTATATTAACTTTTCCAGTGGTTATCAACCCAAAGACAATCTAAGACTCAGTAGTAATGTGTAATTGATATTTTAATTCGTTCGAAAATGATTGCCAAATTTCGATTCAGAAATCATTGTAGTCAGAGAGTAAGATAAAATTCACGAACACCAAAATTAATAAATAAATAACAAAATAAATGTGATTCTCGCAGATAATGACAGGCCATGAGAAAACCTTCTTCAAAGCTTCAAGAAAAGAAATTTTTCTGTCATTTCAAAAATATTCATTTACATTTTAAAAAAACCATATAGAAAATATTCATTTACATTTTAAAAAAACCATATAGAAAATATTCATTTACATTTTAAAAAAACCATTTAGAAAACCATAATTTGCATTGAAAATTTCCCCTAGTAAAATAATATTTAAAAATAATAATTTAAATAAAAATAATTGGCATTTTCATTAACCAAAGAAATTTAAGACTTAAATTCATAAAAATATTATAGGCAAAATGCCATTTGTAAACATTGTAGTCTGATTGTTAACCCTTTAGACCAAAAGATCCCCATAAAACAGGATTTATTTTTTCTGACTCTACTGCAGCTGACAACTGTCAAAATATCTATCAGAGGCTGGAATAGAGGCAAATGTATTTGCACTCACTTGTATTGCTCTATTTTCCAGAAAGTTTGTGCAGTAATCATTTAGATTAATTGCCAACAATTCACTTGCTAAATGTAAGTATGATTTAACATTATCTTGATCTATATAGACTGTTATAGCTTCTTCACAACTATAAAAATAAACAGAGTTACTGTGTTACCATGTTACTACATGAGAGGTTATAATAAATGTAATACTATGATTTAGTATACTGGGGCCATTATTCAAGTGAAAAAATACATGTTTATTCATGAAAATAGTATAATACTAAAAATATGAATATACAAACCATTTTGTTAAAGCATTAAGTTTAAATTTAGTAGATATCTTGAGTAATTCTGTGAGAGAATTTAAATCTTCTTTTTCTAACTGTATTATGTTTGTATATACCCATTTCATTAATGTATAACCAACTTCATACTTTAAATCTAAAATTAAACACAGTTCATACTTTAAAATTAAACACTTCATACTTTATAAATTAAACACAGTTCATATTTTAAAATTAAACACAATTCATACTTTAAAATTAAACACAGTTCATTCTTTAAATTTAAAATTAAACAGAAATAAATCATTCTTTAAATCTAAAATTAAACACAATTCATACTTTAAAATTAAACACAGTTCATATTTTAAAATTAAACACAGTTCATATTTTAAAATTAAACACAGTTCATATTTTAAATCTAAAATTAAACACAATTCATACTTAAATCTTAAATTAAACACAATTCATACTTTAAATCTAAAATTAAACACAAATAAATCATACGTTAAATCTAAAATTAAACACAGATAAATCATACGTTAAATTTCACAATACTTACAAGATAATTCAATAAATCATACTTTAAATATTACAATACTTACAAGATAAATCATACTTTAAATCTTAGAATACTTACAAGATAAATCATATTTTTAATCTAACAATAATTACAAGATAAATCATACTTTAAATCTTACAAAAATCTTAGAATACTTAGAAGATAAATCATACTTTAAATATTACAATACTTAGAAGATAAATCATACTTTAAATCTTAGAATACTTACAAGATAAATCATATTTTTAATCTAACAATACTTACAAGATAAATCATACTTTAAATCTAACAATACTTACAAGATAAATCATACTTTAAATCTTACAATACTTACAAGATAAATCATACTGTTTATCAAACAATACTTACAAGATAAATCATACTTTTAATCTAACAATACTAACAAAATAAATCATACTTTAAATCTTACAATACTTACAAGATAAATCATACTGTTAATCAAACAATACTTACAAGATAAATCATACTTTTAATCTAACAATACTTACAAGATAAATCATACTTTAAATCTTACAATACTTACAAGATAAATCATACTGTTAATCTAACAATACTTACAAGATAAATCACACTTTAAATATTACAATACTTACAAGATAAATAATACTTTTAATCTAACAATACTTACAAGATAAACCATGCTTTAAATCTTACAATACTTACAAGATAAATCATACTGTTAATTTAACAATACTTACAAGATAAATCATACTGTTAATCTAACAATACTTACAAGATAAATCATACTTTAAATCTTACAATACTTACAAGATAAATAACATTTTAATCTAACAATACTTACAAGATAAATCATGCTTTAAATTTTACAATACTAACAAAGATGTTCTTCAGTAAATAAATCTTCTACACCCCAATCTTGACTTCTAGAAGCTAAAATAACTTTATGTGCAGATATCTGATGACCATCTTCTAACCAAATATCAATATCACTGGAAACGAGAACACTCAAAGATATTTGGTTTTAAAGGGACAGATGTGCCAATTATTCTTACCTTAGTTTCAGAAACAATTTTTTTTATCTAAGCCAATTAGTAGACCTAGTACTTACAGCTCACTGTCAAAATTTGAGTCTCAAATCCATGTGTGTCCAGAATTATTCGTGTGAAATTTTCGTACATTTCTAGTACTGCTGAAGACTATTTACATTATATATTCAAGCAATCAATATTCAAAACTGTTACTAAAACCATAAAATTTTGTTCATAAAGCCAAATTTGCTGTAAGCTTAGAGATTAATATAAAAAATAATTACAAAAACAAAAATTACCTGAATGGGGACTCATTAAAAATACTAGCGACAAATTTTCCTAAATTCTGCAAATAGACATCGTGATCCGACTGTTTTGGGTCTGGTGCCAAAGTAACATAATATACATTGGCACCATTAGCTGGAATTTCCGAACCATTTCTTTCATTCTCAGACTCTACCGATAACACTTTCAATTTTGAGGTATCAACAAGTCCTACACATGAAATACAGGGATAAATATTTAATTCTAAAATTAAAACCAATCCATACCCATACTTTAAATCTAAAATGAAACACGAAAAGGAGGTAGGGAGGCTGTTAGCTTCAATCAAGAATTTGTGCAGGGGGGGGGGCGGAGGAAGAATATATTTCCAAGGGGGCCACCAAACCACCCCCCACCCTTTAGTTACGGGCCTGTTTAGAATAGAGGATTGACTAAAATTGTTTACATACATGTGGGTAGGCTATAGGGCCTATTTAGGACGTAAAACTCCATTCATTTCATTTCATTTATAGGGCCTATCATAGAATCTAAGACTATCTTATTGAGAACTTGACATGTTAAGAAACACATTGAGGGCATGTACTGACGTACATAATGTTTAACTTGTGTCTATTTGTTGTAATAGATCTTATTTATGAAGCAAATCTTCATGGAAGATAACCTTAGTTATTGTCTATAGGCGTCTACGAAAATACGCAACGTACGTGGTAAATAGACACTGCCACAATTCTAAACATGTATATAAACAAGTGTAGATCTATCGTGCTAATCATGGAAAATCAAATAAGGCCTACTGAGATTCTAATCAATGACAAGTATTTCAAAGCAAAATTTCAGATGAAAGTCAAATAGCCCTAGTTACCTAAATAACTCAGATTTTCCATTCCAACCAATATTACAAGGTTTCGCCCCCTTCTTCCCTAGTTGTCAAAGGGGAGTAATTTCTAATATTATGTTTGTGGTCTGAAATAAATAATGTTCGATTTTGTCTCAATTTTTTATGGACCAACTTGTTAAGGATTTAATCGTTGTATTTATAGTTCAGTGGATTATATAGTAGGCTACAATCCCTGAGATAAGAAAGGCATAATTCATAAGGTTGTAAGGAAGCAAAACATCTTTGAACCAGGGACGCTTAGATGTCTAATATAAGATATCACGTGATTTGTTATGGTCAAAATGGCGGACGAAAATTTGGGTAATTAATTGTGTTTCATTCTACATGATTTTTATGTTCCATGTCTTTCATCATAGAACTTTCACAGGGGACACGGGGTTACAAGGAAAACTTAAGAGAAAATCCAGAAATAACAAGTATTTATAGGGGGAGGGGGTATTACAGTGGGTAATGCAATTTATCAAGGACTCTGAAGAGGGGTAGGCCTAATATATGGTTGAAAACCCTTCTTAGGGCCTTGTTAATTTGATTCGACGCTGAATAGGTATGCCAACCTATCTCACATTCTTTATTTCAATAGAATCTGGTACAAGAACAAGAGCAATGAAGAAAAGAAAATTTGCAGAAAATATGGACAATGAGCTGAATGTATTTGATATAAATTTTGAAGAGAACTCAAAACTATCTGATCAAGATGTCTATTTATACAATTTAGGACAATTTGTAGCCAGTATTTTCAATGAGACTCGATACAGGTAATGTAAATGCAAATGTTTTCCATTTGGTAACTCTCTGAATGTCTGAGCTAAATCAATCTGTTATAAATGAAATACATTTCAATCCTTGTGTATTGTGGGGCAAAGCTCTTTACTGCAATGTTTTATCACTGTTAAATTGATGATTTGTGGCATGAATATAGTCAATAACTGGGGGATATTTTGGAGAAACTTGAGACTGCGAGTGAAGCTGAAGAAAGTATGTGCTAATTTCCTGAATGAAATTGTGTACATAGTGATAATGTGAATGCAGTTTAGTGGCACATGATGAATGTTGAGCTAACATATCAGTAATGATCTTTACTAGGGCCAGCCCCATTGTTAGGGTGGGGTCTGTGGGGCTGGGGCCCCAGCAAGTGATAATTAATCCCCAGCAAAACCTTCTGAAGTTCAAAAGAGATTGACTCATTTACAGTGTCTTTGTACAATATAAAAAAAGATATAGATTTGATACTTTTTTGGCACCTCAAAATTGTCAGAAATGAGTCTTCAAATTTTCTCAGCCCAGCAACAATTCATTCCTGGTGACAGGGCTGGCTAGGGCTGCAACAATTCAGCAATGAATCGATGAACCATGATTCTTTCGTTTCCATCATTCTATTGGATAAAAAAATCAGAGTTTTTTTTTTGAGAATTCTCTTGTTATAATATTAAAACTATTTTTAGTTTAGTATCTCAATACATCATATCGATCAGCATCGTGTAGTTCATGGAATCACAACTTCAAGAATTATAGCAACGACTTTGAATTAAACTAGTTGTACCACAGCTAAGAAATTATCGGTAATGGTTTTCCCTCTTATCAAGAGAAATGTCCTGTAAACAAAATGGTTACAGAATAAACAATTATTTTCCAGTGATATTGATATTTGGTTAGAAGATGGTCATCTTATATCAGCACATAAAGTTATTTTAGCTTCTAGAAGTCAAGATTGGGGTGTAGAAGATTTATTTACAGAAGAACATCTTGATTTATCTTGTAAGTATTGTTAGATTTAAAGTATGATTTATCTTGTGTAAGTATTGTTAGATTTAAAGTATGATTTATCTTGTAAGTATTGTAAGGCTTAAAGAAAGGTTCATCTTGTAAGTATTGTAATATTTAAAGTATGATTTATCTTGTAAGTATTGTAATTTTAAAGTATGATTTATCTTGTAACTATTGTAATATTTCAAGTATGATTTATCTTGTAAGTATTGTAATATTTAAAGTATGATTTATCTTGTAAGTATTGTAATATTTAAAGTATGATTTATCTTGTAAGTATTGTAATATTTAAAGTATGATTTATCTTGTAAGTATTGTTAGATTGAAAATATGATTTATCTTGTAAGTATTGTTAGATTAACAGTATGATTTATGCTGTAAGTATTGTAATATTTAAAGTATGATTTATCTTGTAAGTATTGTTAGATTAAAAATATGATTTATCTTGTAAGTATTGTTAGATTAAAAGTATGATTTATCTTGTAAGTATTGTAAGATTTAAAGTAGGTTTTTTGTGTGTTCAATTTTAGATTTAAAGCATGATTTATTTGTGTTTAATTTTAAATTTAAAGTATGAACTGTGTTTAATTTATAAAGTATGAACTGTGTTTAAATTTAAAGAATGAACTGTGTTTAATTTTAAAATATGAACTGTGTTTAATTTATAAAGTATGAAGTGTTTAATTTTAAAGTATGAACTGTGTTTAATTTTAGATTTAAAGTATGAAGTTGGTTATACATTAATGAAATGGGTATATACAAACATAATACAGTTAGAAAAAGAAGATTTAAATTCTCTCACAGAATTACTCAAGATATCTACTAAATTTAAACTTAATGCTTTAACAAAATGGTTTGTATATTCATATTTTTAGTATTATACTATTTTCATGAATAAACATGTATTTTTTCACTTGAATAATGGCCCCAGTAGACTAAATCATAGTATTACATTTATTATAACCTCTCATGTAGTAACTTGGTAACACAGTAACTCTGTTTATTTTTATAGTTGTGAAGAAGCTATAACAGTCTATATAGATCAAGATAATGTTAAATCATACTTACATTTAGCAAGTGAAATAATAGCTAATGATCTAAAAGATTATTGTTCAAACTTTTTGGAAAATATTGAAAAAACGGTAGGTGTACAATAAGTACTATTAATATTAAAGATAACTTTTTGGATATCATCAAGCCAACAATGTGGGTATCAAGTAGTATCTTGTCAAAGTCCAGATCAGACATGTGCCATTTAGATTCTATTTTGCCATATATATTTTTCCATGCATAATCAAATAAAGATAAAGCCCTTGCAGATGCTTTGAGAGGCTGTCAGCAGAGCAACATTCTCACTGCTTCTTTCACCACAGGAAAATGAGTGAGATATTAGCTAAAACGAGAGCTCATTTTCCTGTTTTGGAATTTAGCTAAATTAACAGCGTATAGACACATGTTCGAAAAGTCTATCTTATAAAATTGCGTCATTCACGAAGTCACCGATGGTTTTGATGACATCCACACATGGTGAATTTCTGGCCTCCAGAGGCACAAAATATCAAACGGAATAGATATGTTTCTCTCACTAAAAATTCTGCAAAGACGGGGGGACATTTTCCAAATATTCCCAATGATTTTTTAGATTGAGAAAAGCTTTGAAGGTGATGATGAAAATGATAATGATGATGATGATGGTATGGATAATGATGAATCAAATGATAATGATGATCAAAGTGATAATGAGTTCATACCAGAATCTACCATGAAACCAAAGAAGAGAAAGTCTATTAAGGATAACTTATCATGTTTTTACTGTTGCATCAAATTCAAGACTGGTGAAGAACTTGATGAGCACGAAACAAAACATAAAGATGTCGAAAATCCTTTCGAATGCACAATTTGCGGTTTGAAAGATATTTCTAATAGAAGACGCTTACTTAGGCATTTACAAGCCCACAATCCGAATTCCGACAAAAAGAAAAAGTGCAGTGTTTGTGCAGAAGTGTTTAGTAACGCCCTTAATTTAAAGTTACATAAAAAGACACATCATCCGGGCAGTAAACCACACAAGTGTGAATACTGCAATAAACCATATAAAAAACGTTGCGATTTGGAAATTCACGTCAGAACACATACTGGAGAGAGACCCTATACATGTGAAGTGTGCGGGAAAGCTTTCAGAGATGTGGGAACATTACGCATGCACGTAAGAACGCATAATCCTCATAAACCATTTGTGTGTGACACCTGTGGAGCAGCTTTTATAAGCGTTGGTTCGTTGAACAGTCACGCTAAAAATCATGATGAAGAATATCGAAAAAAATCCAAGCGGGCATTTATTTGTAATATATGTGGGCACACTTTCGCTCAGAGCTTTTATCTGAAGACCCACGAAAAGATTCATTCTGGTGAAAAACCACATCAATGCAATCATTGCGGGAAAACTTTTACCGATCGCAGCAGTTTTAGACGTCATAATAAAATCCACACGGGAGAGAAACCTCATAGATGTGATATCTGTGGTAAATCATTTATTCAACGGATTCAACTTACGAAACATAGACCAACTCATGAGAAACCCAATGAGTCCAATCAAACTCAATCTCAACCTCAGATAATATTTACAGATAAACTAGATCATAACATGAGTACAGATTTTACAAATAAACATAACTTTATGGACCAATTGTATCATGTGATTTCATAAACATTAGTAAAATTGTTCATATCTATAATTATGGTTGGTTTTTTATTTTTGGGGGACGTGGTAGCTCAGTGATTTCCAATCAGATTAAACTAAGATAACAATTTCGTCACTCGTAATCTAACAATATTTATACCGAAGTCGCATACTGTTGACATCATTTCAACCAATCACGGCTGGTCATGCTTGCTGTCTTTGAGGTCAGCTCAAGTATTTATTTCTGCATACTGTTTCTTCAGATTTTCCACCCATTTCAGAGACTTTTGCAAAAAAAAAAAGAAACCACAATTAACATCAAAGGGGATTAAAGATGGTTTTCCTTATTTTTTAGTGTCAAATTAAGCAAACTATTTGATTAATTGGTGTTTCAAATGAATTATCATGTATTTTAATCATATCATCATGTTCTTATTGCATATTAAGAGTTTAAACCAATCATAAATGTCCATGTACATATAGTCTGGATAAACAAAAAAAAGAGACTTTTTGACCTTTCTTGATCGGTCACTCATTGAAATTCTGATGGTAATTCTCTTCTAATTTGGCTAATTTTCAATTAATTATGGACATGTGAGACAAACTCAACTTTCATTTTCATTAATGAATAAGAGAACCAATCTTTAAAAGTTTCATCAATATTTTTCAGGAATTGTCCAATATTTCCTCTTATCTTCTTTTATATATACAGGGATTTAGTTCGACATCTTGAATAGCTGATTTTATACAGGGTTTGACTTTATTGAAATAAAATAGATGAAACATCTTATGACTGGTTTCCTGCAAAAAATAAAAAAACTTGTGCCATATGACATCTCAGGTGTATTGCACTTATACATTTTGTCAATTGATTATTCAAAGGGACAGGTGTGCCATTTTGGGGGGTTGATTTTAGTCTTTATGTAAATAGTCTTCAGAAGTACTAGAAATGTAAAAAAATCGCATAATTCCTTTAAAAATACTTCAAACAAGGAATTTTACTCACAATTTCTATTATGTTTTTTCTATATGCCACAAGATAATTCTGGACACACATCGATGTAATGACTCAAATTTCAACGGTGATCTGTGAACTCTATTACTGATTGGCTTAGCTAAAAAATTTACGTTTCTGAGTATGATTGATAAAAAAAAAAAGGCGCACCAATCCCTTTAAATGGTCACTGAATGTTTTTTGGGGGAAAAAAGTACTAAATCTTGAAACAGACTGCAGAACTGATCACATAAATAAACAGCTAAAGTGCAACAAATGGATTTTAAACTGGTTGCATCCATGGAGAGTTTGATCAATAGCTGCATTTTGTACAAGAATAATAACATAGGTTCACAGAGGATCCTTGCTACCTGCTTGTCCTTGACCAAACCTCTTGGCATTGGTCTATCCTGGATTATCCATACCCATTTTACAGCTGGGTCGACTGGAATAATAAGAAATATATTCTATGATGCTCAGAGCAAACCTTGACGATACCTTACCTTTTCTAAGAGTTTAAAACCAAAACTTTCTATTTGTGTTATAAAGTTCTGTGAATTGGCTATTCTACTTTCTACTTCAGCTATCTTTAATTCACCACTGGAAAAATAACATTAAAACAATGAATATATGTAATTTATTAATCCAATGCATTATTCAGGACATTGTTGGGCACCATTGATCTGCCCCGTTCCTACACCAAAGTCATTTTAAAATTTCCTTTTCCGGGTAAAAATTTCCAAATGACTGAATTTATGAGATGCCACCAGGCTTATATACATGGTTAATTAAAGAATCATCATTTTCAATAAGAAATTCTATCATTTTTCTCATAATAATAACTCACAATTTCAGATATAAGGACCCTATTTGGTAAAGAAGCTATGAGGTTTTGATTTAGAAGTTTATTTATTTAATAGAATTATGCTGAATAGCTATAATGGAATGGTGGAAATCAATGCTTTCTTTGGAATTTATTAAGAACATCTCTTTACAATCCCTCTAAATTTGACAAACTAGCATAATAGCAATATTTTGCTCAGTGGCATACTTAGACGATGGGCCATTGGCCATACATCCCCACCCCTAAGGCCTGTGACTTTTGAACACTCGGCATCAGGAGGCATCTGTCCTTCATGCCACAGAAAGACACCTCATACTAGCAAGAGATGATAAATAACAAACAATAAAACATACCCTGGTTGTAATACTCTATTAGCTTCAGCTACATAATCATTTAGATTGGTACCCATTAGTGATAAACAAAATACTGCTACATCCATACTTTTAGTAGGTAATGGTACCTAAAATATAAATCTACTATTATCAAAGCAAAGCACCATCAAATATCTATCAAATTTTTCTTTTAATAGTAAGAGAAGCCATAAATCCAGTATGACAGCCTTTATCTTTTTATCAAAAAACAGAAACAGGCTTTGATTAGTTAAAAAAATAACATCATCAGCACAAGACTGGGGTAAAAAATTAGTTAGATTACAATTGAGTCCGATATATCTGAAAAAAAGAAACGCAATTCTCATCATATTTGAAGAAAAGACCAAGGCCTTTTCAAGACACTAACAAAGTTTACCTTAGAGATATCACAGACGGTAACAAATTTATTTAATGGTACCAAATCAAACGAATGAACTTTCTGTGGTACACTTTGAGCTAATTCTGCAGCACCACAACCAAAATCTGCTATTGTGTGAGTTTTTGGTCTGAAAAAAAAAAAAACCCAAAAAACCTGATATACACAATAAAACCAAACTATGTAATTTATATTTAACATCATATATGCCCCTAAGAACACATCTTCAATTGTCTGAGTAACAACATGTTTCAGGTTCTGTTTTAATATTCCTTACATGATATATCCACATTCATGAGATAAATAATGATTAATACTTCCAAATAGTAAAACCCCTAAATTCAACAAAGATAGTGGACCACAGCCATATACGCCCACCACGGCATGCGGATGGCAAACATTCAAGATTTTGGGGCAAGGGCAATAACTCGGCTTCTAACGGTCGAAAATAGCTCAAATTCGAACTTGATCTTCGTTTTATGAATATAGAGAGATGTGGCAATGTCATATGTGTACTAAGTGATATTCCATTACGCTAAAACATTATCAGTAAAATTTGAATTATGCTAAAACTGCAAAAATGCAGAATTATTTGTTATCTGTGGTACCAGTACTTACAATTTTTTGACTTGATTGATGAAAATGTTTAAAGGGTTGACTGGCCATTTTGAAACTTGTGACTGAAAACCTTCATGGTAGACCTTGAACGATTCCTGATCTTCTTGGAACATTGAGAAAGCTTCTGGTCCAGTCAGAGTGTACAACTGTTCATTTAGGAACCGGAATCTGGCTTCATTCAGCTGACTTTTCATTCGTTCTTGAAGTGTTTTTGTTTCTTTTTTATTCTTAGAGTCCTTTTTATCTTGATTTGAATTCCTTTCAGGAGTTTGCACACCACAATTTTTATTAGCTAAAATGTTTGATAATTTATTCGTATTAAATTTGCTAGCTATTTTTTTTTCACTTTCGCTGAATTTTGAAGATTTTTCATTTTTCTGTGAAGCAGCCTCTTTATTTTTCTGAACATTTTTGCCAACTTTTTGCTTAAAATCTGAATCTATTTTTGACTTTTTGGGGGGGATTTTCACTTCACCTTCATTTCCAGAATTTTTCCTTTTCTTATTTGATTTCTGAAAAGTATCTCCCAGATTTGAATTATAAGCCTTGTTTTTCATAGTGTTTTTGTCAATTTTCGTTTCCCCATTCACTTTGGACTTCTTTTTCTGTAGTGGCTTCTCTTCACTTCCTAATTTATTTTCAGTGTCATTCACTTTATCAGAATTGTTAACTTCTTTGTCACTACTAATGTCGTTTGTCAAAAAATTATGGTCACTTTTAGTAGCCTCTTTCACTTTAGAATTCTTTTTCTTTTCTGGCTTCCCTACACTTCCCTCATCATTAAATTTAGACTCAGACTTTTTATTCAAGGGCTCAAAATTTTTGTTTTTAACATTTTTGGTTTCTAAGGCCAATTTCTCTTGATCGGCTTTTTTCTTTAATTTTTTCTTTTGTTTTTTGGATAAATTTGGAGTTTCACATTGGAAAGGGTTATCAACTTTTTCTGTTTCCAATTCTGTTTGAAGATTTTCTGTTTCCATAGAAATCGTTTTCTTAATTTTGTCCTTTTTCGTTTTCTTCACTTTCTTTGGTTTTTCTGTTTGAACTTTCGGTATATTTTTTATTTTCGGTACATTTTCAGGAACGTATTTGGATTCCTTTCGGTCATCTTCTTCGTCTATCTGAGCGAATAATTCTTCATCTGAATCCATGTTTTCTTTTTTCCTTTTTGCATTTTCTTTTCTATTCAATTCCTTCTTCCGTTTCTTTCTATTTCTTTCTTTCAGGTTTTTCTTGGCTCTTTTACTCAAGTCATTGCCATCATCTGAATCACTACCACTGACATCAAATTGAACAATTTTCAGAGTTTTCTGAACAGATTTAAAATTTTGAAGAAATTCTTTTGCTTGTTTGGTTTCTTGATCAATTTGTTTGGCTGTTTTCTTTTTCTTAGTTGTGGTTGACTTCTGAAATTGACAAATAAAGTGGAAACTTATCGTATTAATAGCTTAATCAAATTTTGAGAGTCCACATAACCAGTTTTGATTCTATTTATTTCACACCAATGGCAAAAGGCTGGTAACTCTCGACTCTGAAGCTGTTTGCTTTTTAATTCTAAAAGTTTGTTTGTGAGTGTGATGATCATCACATGGCAGAATGTTTCTCATTCAGAAACACCTGATGCCACCAAAAGTGGGTATGTCAACTAGGCATCCTTTTAAGCGAAGACAACATATCTACTTTAGTTTCACACAATCTGGAGAGCTCAGCTGATAGCTACTTTGCCTTTGGTCAAGCAATCAAGTTGCAAAACCTTCAACCACAGTCAATCCAATATCATATCTATGCAATTTTTTCTAATTTTCATGATAGGCCCGATCTCGAGCAGAAGATGCAGGGTATTCTTTTAATTTCTTACCAAACTTTAGACGGAAAGATCAATTCGATCATGTCAACGACTGTCTACAATTCTACATGGTCATGGACTCAGTGACTGTCTGATTTTCGGTTGACACCATGATTTAGATAAAGAAAACACTTACAACTACATTTTTCTTCTTGCCTCCGAATAAAGCATTATTTAAGGCATCGGTAGTGTCATTTTCATCCCAATTATCAGATCCAAACTGCATTTTTATTAGATAACAGTGTTGGGTTTTAACTCTCTCACACGTGTTTTTGTTTACATGACCATTTTTAGTTTTACTGAATGGAGAGCTCTCTATAAGGGAAATAACAAACGTTTTTCAGACCATAATAAAATAATTAATAAAACTTCAAGGTTTATGTCGATTTCTAATTTGTGAATTTTAGGTTGTAACATTGGGTTAAGCAATGCTACGAAAGCACAGGCACAGGCATGTAGGCTTAACCTCCAGTGATTGGGGCTAGGTCAAGGCACACAACCTACCTTTAGTCCATGATAGCCAGTAGTGAAGCAAAACTTAAATTCACTTTCAAAAAATAATGTTGCGTTGCGTTTAAAAGTAAAAGAAAAGAAAAAAAGATTATGTATGAAACTGAAAGCCGAATGCATTTTGCGATTTTTCAACGCAAAATTAAGAATCCTAGTTGATTAAGGAAAGGTGGTCTCTTCTGAACATATATAGTATCAATAAATTCAATTAACAAAAACAATGGGACCTATTAAACACTCCAATATATGTCATAGTATTTGCTTGGAAAACATTTTTAGACCCCATTGTCGAAAATCATTGGGCCAATATCATTACTTATACTTACTCGACGCTTACTTTTGAAAAGTAATTTGTTAATGAATTTAAAGTAATTAGGCTACCTGTCACCTCAACATGTCAATGTATTTGTTTTAATGACACCACAATAAAATTGAAATATTTGATCTGTATTCATAAATTTCATTTGGCTAAAAAGGATCTTTTTTGGACAATGCGTGCCCGATTTTAATTTATATTAATGTGTATGGAGAAATTTCACTAAACATTTTTTCATTTTAGGCCTATTTTAAATTTATAAGCTTCACTAAAATAAGTTATATGGATAGTGTCAGTAAAAAAAGGCATGCTCTCTCTCCCAAATGACGGTATGCCATTCTGCGACTAGGCTTTTCAACTCAGAATCACTTTCGACAAGACTACACGATTAATAATGTTTCTTAGACGCATTCATTTATATCGAATACATTATGGAAAAACGAAAACAGGAACTTAAAGTTTGACAGTCGAATGCATGCAATGTAACTAAAACAATTATTTTTTTTCGGATGCTTTTAAAAGATTATAAGATTAACGTTCGCGAAGGTGACAATATCATAGAAATTTGGATGTGAACGAAATTTAACATATATTGTCAATGCTATCTGAAAATTCTCACGAAGCTTTCGTTGGCCCAGAATTAATCTTCATTGATATATTAAAAACAAGAGAACACAGTGACGGTCATGTTAACATTCTTGAACGCCTTTGACACAACAAAAATTATCCGTTCTCAGAGCTTTTCTCAGAACAGAATGGATGAATGTTGTGTTCTGAATTCTGGTCCACCTGATTTCTGTTCATTGCATTTAAACATAAAGTGAAACCAAGCCTTAAAATTTCCCCTTTCACGAACGACACTTATATTCAAAGGAATTATCAAGAAAGAGGCCAAAAACCTGTCTTTATTGCCTTAATGATTGAGTATCGGTCTCTATTCTTTTTCGAACTTCTACTAAGGCATACGCCCATTACGATCTGAAGTTCTCACGTGCTGCATAAAAATGATAAAATTCTGGATAGAATCACCGAAACGTAAAAAAGTAAATATGTATTCATTAGAAGCGATTTCGATGCAGAAACTATCCACAAAAGACGGAAAACTCAATTCATTCATTACAAGAGACAGATGCACATTTTTTCGCATTTCATCTGAAAGTCAGATGAACAGTGACGAACAACAAAATTATAGATCAAAGACAAGTCAATAGACAGAAAGAAAAACAAAGGTTAAACTTTAAACCAAATAGTTTAAAATGAACAAAACTCCATCTTCATTATTTATGAGCAATATTTTTGCTATTCGTCGTGTTTATTTTGATAGAGATTTATATCGACAATGAAATGGAGTAATCATATACGTAAGAAAAGATTTATGTACAAGGGCATAAAAGAGTAAGAAATAAAAATGTTATGCTAAGGTATAAAGCAAGGAGTATTGTTATGTCCTATTGTTTTATGATAAGCGGTAGAAGATCTAAGGAGTAAAATTTACCTAACGAGTGATAATATTACTAATCCGCTTCAGGTGAAATCTGGTCTAAGGCTACGTTCACACGATTGATTTGCTGCATCATAAATTTTCTCATGATCGATTTGGGTTTTGGGTTAAATTGTATCGTCTGTACTTTTTCGTATATTTTCCCTATGTTATACGAAATTTTTTCTGAATTTGAAATTTAGTGTCGCTGTTTTTTTTTAAAGGATTTTCTCAGAACGGGTATGGGAAGTTTTGTAGGGCTAACTCGTTTGTTGATTTCAAGAACGCTTTCAGTATATTCACCGTTCGTGTACCCTGTAAAAAATATTAATGTTAGATTGTCTCCCTTTGATTGAAAATCCATTTGATTGTTGAGAGAATGGTAATTGCATAGAAGATATCAACAAATTTATTCAAATGAGTTAATATAACGAACACTTAACTATATTTGGGTACAAGTGAAATATCATTTCAAACATTTGATATCATGTGGAAGGCTAAAAATGAAATAGAGAAAGTCTCCATTCACTTGAGAATTAAATTCCATCCAGGAACAAAGTCTATAAAAAAATTATGCCCAATTAATTAACATGGTCATTGGCATGTGCCTGACAGAGATAAAATCATCATTGATTCTAACCCAGTATAGCAATATCTTGATCAATTTTATTCTCCGTAAAAGAGAATAAGTTTGGATTGTCTCCCTTAGATAGGGTAGCCACATTCGGTTAAACCGTAAATAAATACCATGCATTAGGAGATCCAAACATTGGTTATGTACAGAACGACCGAACAGTACAATAATAGGTAATCAAATTAATACAAGACACCAATAATGAACATTTCTATTAAAAGCGTAGGCCTACGTATATGAGCGAGGGTTGACAACAGAAAAATGAATGTATCACTTTTTACGTCTAAATCGTTATCATTACGTATTGCCCAAGCCCCTGTTCGTCCAAATGGCTTATCGACGAGATGGAACTAACATTTTTAGTCAGATAACACTTTGTGTGCAGGATTATATCAGTTATTGTGCAATTTTGAATTTGGGTACGAGTCGACAAATATTTCTTGAGTTACAGTCCTTGATATAATGTTAAAAGTGGGCGTATATTGCTTCCAACACATATCTCAAATCGTACATGCTAAAATATTAACAACAATTTCGATTGATAAAAATATCAGTATCTCTTTGATTTCTAAAGAATCAAAATCTATATTCAATCAAATGTTGACAGAATGATTAATGCATGAAAGAGATGGAATTTGTAATCAAATGCAACACATCTGTAAATCATAACATGCTAAAATATTTTCAAAATTGATAAACATCGGTAGGGGAAAGTCGGGTCTTTAAATTGACTGGGGATCAAATACAGGTTTGACCAATATCAGTAGATCACAAGTAGCGCTGATGGCGAGATTAACACCGTGGATTAACACCCCTTTAATCTCTTATCATTTCATCATGTACTGATGAATATTATCCTAAAGGACATCAATAGTATAAGTGCTAAATATGCTGATATACTCTTCAAGGTTATTGTATCGATCATGAGTTATTATGATTATGATTTCACATCAATAAACACACATTTTTTTCTGTTATCTTTTCGTTTAATTAGGGGTTTATCAGTTTTTATTTCGATATTTCTGTTTTTTTTTATCTATTCTTTGGATTGACGATAGAAGAGAATCCAATAAGGCAATAATTGTAAGAATGTATACGATCATACGATACGTTACTGAGTGATGAAATGTGGAGAATATTACTTTTGGCGAAAAATAAACAGAAAAAATCTAATACCATTTTATGACGAAGCCTCCATACCAAAGCATGAAGTTCGAAATATTCGAATGAAATTTCCAGAAATGTCCGCAATATAATCAAATGCAATGATTTTAAGTAAACATAGTCAAAGGATGGAAAAGTACAAAATGAAATTTTCTTCAAGTCTATTTTGATAATGATTACATTGCGGTGTCGGCCTCCCGTAGTCGCTTAATATCTTATTAATCCCAGCAACAAATACATCAGTTTGGATGCCGTCGCTGAATCGGAATTTCAAATCAGATTCAAACGCGCTGTGTCGGATCGAATTGAATCTTTTAGCGGCTTTTCGGTGAACGCGATAAACTGTCATATTATTTATCCTTTACCTGTCATTAAAGGTAATTACAGAAGTTAATTTCTTTACTTGTCAATCAATTACTATCTAAGATACGCCCCTTAGTTCTGATTGGCTGATGAGAATGTAAAGGCGGGGTTATCATCATCAAGGTAAATATTATCTGAAATGAAAGTAAATTGTGTAGTATTGTATTTACATGTTAAGGCAGTCAAGCTGTTGGATTTTTAAGATCTGCATTTGGATTAATTTTAAATTATTCATGAGCCATAATTACTTAAAGAATAAGACATAAAAAGTTCGTTTTGGAGTTAATGTGCTAAACGTGTGTTTTAAAGTGAATGTACAAAGTCATTGGACTTGTATAAGTTCTCTTAGTAGAAGAATACCCACGTGTGGATATCTAGCTGTTACGGTAGCAATAGTAAAAGGTAAAATACAGTTTATTTTAACAGGGTACGATATGCCCATGCATTTCGATTTCCTCGACCCGTGCTTTTTGTTGCGTTATGCTCACGGAAAGGGTGTAATTGTTATACTTCGACTACTAGCATGACTCGTCTTAGATGTTGATGAGAACATTGTCTCATAAAAGCACTGGTCGAGGTTACAAAGTAAAGATTCATGTTAACACAAGGTATATACAAGATGAAATTTAAGATAATTATTACGTTAAATATGGATGTCTTATCATATCTTTTGCTGATTACATAGAGTTAATTCCTTGAAAATAACTTGATCGGCCCATGCTTTCGGCATTGATTATTTTACTGAACGTACCAAATGCATTGACTGCAACAAATGCTTTTAAGGTTTGGTATGGATTCACAACCATCTTTGTAACCTATAGCAGAATTTTGCTACGACCTTTGCTTCCGGGTATGACTGAAAGTCAAAGAAATGGCTACCACTTGAATTAGGCAATTGGGGTAGATAGTTGGGTACCATGGATTCGAACCTCTTTCACAAGAACAAACTTTGATGCCACAAGCACAATTTCGAGGGTCAGCCTAGTGTCAAATCTAACTCCCCTATCTAGCTAAGCGATACACAATTGTTTGTGCAATGAAGTTGACAAACCCCGGGTTATGCGTAGGATAAAACTGAATTCCTGATACCTCAACCGATGCCTTCGAGTGTCAGCCAAATTTTCATCTATAGCTAATAAATAATGGATCGTTTGTGCAGTGAAGTCGACAAACCCCAGGTGATGTAGGATAAAATATTGAATTGTTATTTTTCAGTGAGTAAAATTAATTAACGGGACCCTAGCTAATTGTAAATGTCAGGGTTGATCGCATCCATTTACAACTTTACATACATACTGAATATACAATTAATATCGATTTTATATAACATATTATATACATTATATACAAATATCCTATTGATACTGATGTTATATTGGGTCTTTGGAAAAAAAAAACGTGACTATGGAACTTGTAAGGATTATATAGATATTGATATTTTTAAAGATCGATCTATCGATCTGGTCATATCTTGGTCAAAGATTTTTAGTACTATTTGTTAATTAAGCAGTTTGATCTAGCATTGGCTTTTGGCTTTATAATGACTCGATATCTTTTTAGTTGAAAACAAATTTTGCTAAAATTCGTACAGTAGTGTTCCGAAACCAGCCAAAAAGCATAACGATGTTAAAATGTTTATGTAAATCGTTTAACTTGTTTTGGCGTTCTAAAATTTAGGTTTAAAATTTCACATAAGTTAAGTGACACATTTCTCTAGATCTTGTTGTTTTTATAAATTTGAGTAAATTTTTCCAGACTGCTCCTTTAATAGCATAGCACGTCACAAGGACATTAAAGGGATTGTTAAAAGGTTTTTGTAAATCAAATTCCACCATTCCAATTTTCATTCAGATGTCTGTGATCCCTGAAATTCCATTGAATTTAAGTGTTTGATGACGTCACTAACCAAAAAGGGGCTCATATTTTGCGATATTAGTGACGTCATCAAACACTTCTTTTTATGGAATTGCTGAAACCACAGACATCTGACTGAAAATAGGAATAGTGCAAATTGATGCTATCTGCAGTGTCCGTGGTACACACACAAAATATAGAAAACCTCTTTACAATACCTTTAATAAAGTTCGAACCTATGGAACCGATTATAAGGATAATTTTATTATATAATTTAATATTTGGCTCGAGATCTGTCTGTCTACTTAGTTAGGCATGGCCACTTTATCTGCCTTGACATTTTGAATTTAAGTAACGAGTCTTATAAAAAATATCTCAAAATTATATTGAAGCTTTTTATCACTAAGATGAAGACTGCACCCAACAAATTTGAATTTTTGAACTCTATTGTTCAAATTGTTACAGAAACTCCACCATGCTTGACTTATGACTAAAAAGTAAACTAGTGCAGTAACCACGCGTTTATACCAATTTTTTTAATTAATTTACTTTTTGAGTTGTTTACGGTTGAAAAATGAATTTTAAATAAGTCAAACGAAAAGAACATACTATTTTTAATGACGTTCCACCCCTCTTATAGTTGGTTGACCGGTTTCGTTAACATTAGTCAAAAAAACCTTTCATGTTGCTTTGTATACGTTTATTTGCCTGCCTTATCAATTTCCTTCATTCTAAATATAATTAACTCTCCTCTTTTCAACAAAACTTCATGTTTTATACAATTTTTTTTCTTTTCATTTTCGCCATCAACAGCTTTGATTAATCGTAAATGCCTTGGTTTTGAAATGAACAAAAATAATTTTAATTTGATGGAAATTCTTCGGTGGTGAGTCTTCAATCTTAAAGTTAGGATGTCTTTTTTGTTTGGACGATAATAATTGAGAATAATCATAAAGACGTTGGTCGTGGCAGTCTCAAATAATAATATTGTAATATAGAGTGATTCGAATCCAAAGCACCAAAATCACTGAATGTTTTTGAGAATGTCCAGATCTGATACGATGGGCGATTTTTTTTTCGTTTGAAAATATTCTAATATGGAGTTGTGTAGTATTTTGTTAGAAGAACAAGGAAAATAGAGCGTTATTTCAATTCGATGGTGATTTTTTGCATATTATTATTAATTACAGTTATGTTATGCTTTTTACTTACCACCTTCAAACATGCACTTTTTATCACCCACCTTAAACATTCTTTCCTTTCATTTCAGATTCTCTCTGTATGTGGATTAATGTATACAACGAGCTGTGATGAAACGAAGAAAATTAGACTTAATCTCAACTGACACAATGCATCTAAATCAACAAATTTCGTTACGGGCTGTGTTTGTTTTATCGATTTTAACCTCCGTTTACGCCGCCGATTTACAAGTAACCTACACAATACCCGAAGAACAAACGGTCAACAGTTTCATTGGGAACATCCTTAAACGACACCGAAAATCTTAAAGGTCTGATCAGCGACGAAGACTTCCCGAATTTGAGATTCAGCTTTTTAAGTGAAGGGAACGCCATCACATCCCTGTTTTCGTTAAGTAGATTAAATGGTGATCTAAAAGTCGGACCTAACTCTACATTAGATCGCGAACAAATTTGTCCGTTTACGACAAACTGTGAAATAGCCTTGGACGTAGTCGTACAATCACCATTAAGCCATCTCTTCAAAAAGGTCGCAGTGAAAGTTGTTTTAAAAGATATTAACGACAACAGTCCTAAGTTTCCCAATCCGATTGTTAATCTTGACGTATCTGAAGCTGTATTAGTCGGAGCATCAATTCCACTTGAAGGTGCGTCCGACGCAGACAGAAGTAAGAACAATTCCCTACAGTCTTACGAAATCGTTCCCACCATTGGCGCCTTTGGCATCTCTTACAGACAAAATCTTGACGGCACTACGTTTCTAAACCTGATTGTCCGCGAGGAACTTGATCACGAAACGCAGGATAAATATTCCTTACAGATAATCGCCAAGGACGGAGGACAGCCGCAACGCCAGGGTATTTTAAGTGTGAATGTAGCCATCACGGATGTCAATGACAATGTGCCAAAATTCACTAAAGACAATTATACTGTCACCATTGATGAAAACGTATCGCATACCTCCGTCATAATTAACGTTCACGCAACGGATGACGACTCCGGCGACAATGGAAATATAACCTATAAACTCAGTTCGCACCAAGACCTGAAACTAAGGACATTGTTTAATATCGATTCTATCTCAGGTGATATGACAATCAAAGGTAATTTAGAAAAAGAAGCCACAGCACAATACAACGTAATTGTGGAGGCAATAGACCATGCGTTACAGCCTTTCACGAGTCAGACAGTAGTTACGATCAACGTGCGTGACGTTATCAACAGTCCACCTATGTTAACTGTCAACGTTTTATCAGATGCTGCAATCTCCGAATATGCCAGTGTCGGCACCGTTATCGCCCATGTAGCCGTTAAGGAATCTGACCGCGGGCGGAACGGGATTGTCTCATGCCAACTTGATGATCCCAATTACTTCCAGCTCCAAGGATATGATCTGGACGAGTACAAGGTCATTGTAGAAAAACCAATTGATTCGGAAATTACCCAACAGCAGAACGTTACCATCATTTGTCAAGATGCAGGAACACCTCCTCTGTCCTCGAATTTCTCCTTCCTAGTGACTGTTATCGACGAGAATGATAACACTCCAATCTTTACCAACGGTAGATATTTTGGAAAAATTTCTGAAAATAGTCGAATCGGACTGAGTGTTTTGAACGTCAGTGCTTCCGATCAAGACCGAGGACAAAATGGACGAATTCGTTATTTTCTCGGCCCCGAATCTGCAGGCCATTTCAAAGTTTCTCCCGAAGATGGTTTTATTCTAACTGACGCAGATATTGATTATGAAACCAATCCAAGAATAAACTTCTCTGTTCTTGCAGTAGATGGTGGCAAACCCGCCAAGACAGCTACTGCTGAAGTATCCATTCAGATCCTAGACGTCAATGACGAACGTCCTAAATTTTCACAAAAGACCTTCATATTGGACGTGTCTGAAGCAGCCAAGCCTGGCGAGATTGTGTCATTAATATCTGCTTTTGATTTCGAAACTGGGCGAAATGGCGAGATCGAATACTTTTTAATAGATAAGACGCCATCGACACCCTTTACATTACTAAGTAATGGATCATTAGTTTTAGATAGATCTCTAGATTACGAATCAAAACAAGTGTTTGGTTTTAATGTTATGGCCATTGATAAAGGGATACCTCGCCTCAACTCCACGGCTGAAATTGTCGTAAAAGTCAAAGATGAAAACGATAATATACCTATTATTACTTTCCCCAATTCGCCTAGTTATCTTATTAATGTGACGTTCGCCGATAACAAGGGAACAGTGATTACTCGTTTAAGGGCCATTGATTCTGACTCGGGGCTAAATGGACAACTACGTTACGTCATCACCAGTCGAAACGATAGCGGGAGATTTGAAGTTGATGCAGAAACTGGAGATATATACACTACAAAGAATTATAACTTGAAAGATATTGACTTTTACAAATTAATTATTGGAGTCCAAGACATGGGGACCCCACCAATGGCCGCCCATATCACCATTTACGTTAAATTGGAGCAAGGCAACGGTACCGCAGCTTTAGGTCAAGATGACACTAACGACCAAAACATACTGATAACCTTAAGCATTGTGTGCATAACTATCGTTTTCGCAGCCATCGTGGTGTTGGTCATCGTTATTATGAGACATAAAGACAAGAAGAACCAAAGTTCTGGCAGTAATTCTCAGAATCAGTCTGGATTGGAACCAACTCAGTACGATGCTGTGGTCAAAACTAATGGTAATCACGATCTTCACCCTCATCTTGCTGATGATTCTGGATACAGCTTCAGTGTGTCATCTGATAAGAGTGCAGTCCTTCAGAATCCATCGTGTATAGAAAATAAAGCAAAGGTAAGAAACTCAGATTATTTCTTTAACCATCTATGCATTCGCTATCCCACTTAATACCAAATTTTCAAAATGTTCTTAGCATTTAAGAATGAGATGAATTTTCACCAATATTTACCATTTGCCAAGTTATATCACGCTATCTAAGGCGTAACTAAACTTCAATAACATTTTAAATATAATAGATTTAATCGTCTGGCAGAAGGATCCGTTTTAACTGCTCAATATGTGCCCAATTAAATATATTTTTATATAAGCAACATTTTTGGTTTTTCAAGCTACAGAACAGCTATAAATCTCCTCTTTCGTATTCTCACTTACAAAATTAACATAACGTATTGAAATCTTTAACACGTAGACCTAACAAACGAATCTCATTAAGTTAGACCACCAAGTAGTTCAATTTCATTCCATCACAAAATCGCACATACTTTTCACGACAACACCTTATCTCCATAGCTCTCTATCAATCTTGTTTGACATACCTTACTTAACTTCTTACATTAGAGAGTTTTGTATGAAATTTGAAATAAAAATAACAAGTAACACACTTTAGTTAGAAGTCTGTCAGGGTTGCTTACAGAGCTTAGTTGACAAACCAAGACGCAGAGTGGTATGTTGTCTGCAAGATCACTTACTTTTCAAATTAATTACATATCTTATACTATAAGGCATTCTTTCATGTCCTAACGATAGCTTTAAAAACTGAATATTGCATGCAAGTCGTTTACCAAAGATCACTTCAAATGAATGGAATTTTACGTCCCGCTTTGATGAAAAATCACTAGATGTGTCAATGCCAATGCAAATTTATATCATAACCTTATAAGAGTAGTTCAATTACATGTATATAGATCAACCTATTTCGCTGTGTTAGATCCTGTTTTCATACATACTAAAGTGATATAAATTGCAGACCTAGATCACGCAATATATTGGATTAGAAACACATGCGTAATGCAATATGTTGGATAACACATGACATAGGTAATATATTGGATTAGACAACACATACCATGGGAAATACAATATATTTGATATGGGCGGATAAAAATATTGGATTATACATAACATAGGCAATGCAATTACACATAACATGGGCAAGGCAATATGTTTGATAACACAAAGGTAATACAATATATTGGATAACACGTAACATGGACAATGCAATATGTTGGATAATACATAGCATGGACAATGCAATATATAGGATAACACATAATATGGCCAGTGCATAAATGGGATAACACATTAAATGGGCAGTGCAATATGTCGGATAACACATTCTAAGGACAATGCAATATGTTGGATAACATATTCTAAGGACAATGAAATATATTGGATAACATATGACATGAACGTGAAAAAATATTGCGTTTCTAAATTGTGGTATAGCTAAAGCAATATTATTGATATTACCAACGACTTAAATTAACTAAAGCTCATTTCACGATGCCAACATGTTCAGGATAAACAATATTCATCAGGACAGCTTTTCTTTGAACAAAACTGGCATCGGGCAATTCTATCCAACCCCAACGAAACCTTATCTTCCATCTTCCATATATTTCAAATATATGAACAGAATTTTTTTGGCGAGATCCCACTTGGTTACGTAAACTGTAGAAGGCACATGTCAAGAAAAATAACATATCGTTGGAACTGAGAAGGCAATTAAGATTAAATTTAGATAGTGCTATTCATTAGTCTAGGAATTGCATGTTAGCTTGAGGGAATTAATAGCTCTCTCAGAAACTTAAACGCCCTTTGTCAAACCTTGCACCTGTTGCAACCAATTTTTTACCAGAACGTTCTCATCAAATTTGGCAAAAACAGCAGGAAATTCAAGTCTATTACTCAAGACTTGATGAGGCGTGCGTTTACGGGTCTCTGATATCAGTAGTCATCTTGTTACCAAGCTGATGAAAGAATGGTAGAATGTTTGTAGAAAGAGTAATAAATATGCTAGCGATATGAAAGTTGTTTAAAACTTGTAAATTATTATCAATGTTAGTATTATCAACGATCTGAAAGTGATGAAAAATTTACACCGCCACGATATTCTGATGAGAGTTTTGTTGTAGATTATTTTGAAACGACTTTGAACGATTCTTAAAATGTGCATTTATAATTGATAACTGATAAATGCTGCGATATTTTGGACGTCACTTTGATTTCTTTGAGTTTTGTTGTAGATTATTTTGAAACGACTTGGAACGATTCTAAAAATGTGCATTTATAATTGATTGCTGATAAATGCTGCGATATTTTGGACGTCACTTTGATTTCTTCGAGTTTTGTTGTAGATTATTTTGAAACGACTTTGAACGATTCTAAAAATGTGCATTTATAATTGATTACTGATAAATGCTGCGATATTTTGGACGTCACTTTGATTTCTTTGAGTTTTGTTGTAGATTATTTTGAAACGACTTTGAACGATTCTAAAAATGTGCATTTATAATTGATTACTGATAAATCCTGCGATATTTTGGACGTCACTTTGATTTCTTCGAGTTTTGTTGTAGATTATTTTGAAACGACTTTGAACGATTCTAAAAATGTGCATTTATAATTGATTACTGATAAATGCTGCGATATTTTGGACGTCACTTTGATTTCTTTGAGTTTTGTTGTAGATTATTTTGAAACGACTTTGAACGATTCTAAAAATGTGCATTTATAATTGATTACTGATAAATGCTGCGATATGTTGGACGTCACTTTGATTTCTATAAAAAAAATGTACACATATAATTAAATATTTTGATTACATAGGTGAGAATTCATAATGTATGTAGGTTTGTATTTCATTGGCTAGGGCGGTGTAGTGTACATTTCTATTTTGTATATAAAAATCTGCTAATGAATTCTGCTTCACATATAAAAATTACCTTTACATGCAACCTCTACCAATCTGACGTCGTTAAAAACATTGCCGAATTTGTACAAATGTGTTGACTGAAAATTATGAAAATTCAAATTCAAACAGTTCAGTTAATTTTGATATTAGTTAATCTCTAAATCAATAAGGCCTTCGATCCCCGGGGGGTCAACCTCCGACCCTGCCCATTTATTTTAAGTTCAGAACAAATATGGGGCAAATGTACCCGATCACCTGTCTTTAAACAGTCATTAGTGTAGAATTTACTTTCAAAATCTTCTGAAGTGGTAAGATTAACCTTTGCCATATGTCTAGTAGTCGCGAAATACTCGCCACATACTCTACTTCCGGATTAGCCTAAACTATCAAAATTAAACCGCCATTAAAAAGACCATAAAATTTTAGCCTTCTCCCCTCGTTAAAGACGTAAAAGTGGGCATAAATCACGACTTTTATGACCCCGGGCATGCTGCAAAAAACACACATTTGGAGTATTTAAGTCGTAAAATTGTGTAACTAGTTATACCGGGTGACGCTTCATCCATCTTCTTGCTAATTTTAAGTGTCAATTTTTAACGAGACTATGGTAAAAGTTTGACAGTATTTTACAGTGAGCTTGTTAAACCTGTTGATCGAGTCTACAATCCAATTAGTATTCTTATGGTAATTGCACGTGTCAAATTATGACATGTTTTCGGGTAATGGTTAAAATTACATTAAAATCGATTTAAAAACGAAGAATATATATTATATGAACTACTTATGGTTATTATCTAATAATACGTCGAGCGTTAATTCGTTTTCCATTTTATTAAAATTTCATTTTGCATATAAAATTGAAGCTTACACTTGCAGAATTTCAGGGACTTATTACATATAAGCTAGGAAAGCAATCACAGCTATGTGTAGGCTATGTCTACAAAAAAATTCTCAGGCAGTTGACAAGGTTAAAGAAATTTTTAACAATTTTTCTTAAAAAAAATAATGTTTCAGTCAGTGACTGCATATTATTTAAAGATGGGTTCCCTATGTTTCTGTGTCAAATTAAGCAAACTGTTTGATTAATTGGTGTTTCTAATGAAATATTATGTATTCTTAATCATATCTTTACGTTCTTATTGCATATAATTAAGAGTTTTAACCAATCATAAATGTCCATGTATGTACAGTCTGGATTCTGGATAAATGAAAATAAAGGAACCTATCTTTAACCATTTCAAGTATATGATTACAAAAACGAAATGCTTGTTGCTTGACGACCAATTAATACCAATTTTGTTTTTTGTGTAAATTGCATTCGCTTACAGTTTGCTTAAGATCGAGAATTTGTCTACGAATTGGGTATTTTATATAGAAAAACCCAGCCTCATAATTAGAAAAAAGAAAACCTGCAAAATAATTTTGAAATAATATGATCGAAAACGATAGTCTTAAATGAAAAAAATTCCAACTTAGTCATTCAGATTTGTACAAGATTGAAAGTATTAAATTTTTTCATAAGCACTTCAAATCAGCCCTATACAAAAGTTGATGACTATTGTCCTGTTTGATTCAAGTGAAAGCTGTAAAGTTATAAAATAAAGTGGCAGTTTAAAGATGACAGTAAGGACTTGAAGTGATATATTTAACATGGTATATTGACAGTCATATTACCTACTTCAACCCTAGCCTGTTGGTCACTAGTCATAAAACTCTTCAAGTTTTTACTTATATACCTTCAGCTTGACACGATGGAAATCATAAAATTCTTATTAGAAAGTGGAGTACTTTGACT